CTGGTTCGCTTACCCTTGAAGTCTTTCCTGGTGCTCTTATTGCTGCTTGCTGCTGTTCCTGGAGTCTTCCTGTTTACTGCTGTTGTTCGCTTATCCCTGACAAGTCTTTCCTATCGAGCCAGGTCGCTGCTACTAGCCACGACAATGCGGCAAATTGCACATGACATGTAATATCAATCAACGCTTGACTCTTCAACGCAAGGCTGACAATCCAGCACAGACTGACAAGCGTGCAGCAAGTTTGGACACCAGTCTAATAAAATACATCAGCGTTGTCAGGAAACAAAGATTTTTTGAATTGTTCATTTCATTGGCCAAAGAATAAGGCGCAGTCAGTGACATTGGCTGGCAAGTGACTGAGGTTCAAAGAACATTTTTAAACATTAAAAGCTCCACTCGGGCTACTGATCCGGCAAAATTCTGGTCAGATCGTCATCAATTTTAGTCATCTCCGCAGAATTACGGTCAGAGCGTCATCAATTTAGTCTCCGCAAAATTACAGTCAGATCGTCGCCAATTGTAGTCTCCACAGAGTTGCAGTCAGATCGTAAAAAGTAAGTCTCCGCAGAATTACGGTCAGATCCTCATCAATTTTAGTCTCCGCAGAATTACGGTCAGATCGTCATCACTTTTAGTCTTGGCAGAATTACTGTTCGGGTTGCAGTCAATTTTAGTCTCCGCAGAATTTCGGTCAGATCGTCATCAGTTTTAGTCACGTCCCCGAAAATTACGGTCAGTTGGAGTCTCCGCAGAATTGCAGTTGGATCGTGGCCCATTTTAGTCTTCACAGCGTTACGGTCAGATCGTCATCAATTTGAGTCTCCGCAGAATTACGGTCAGATCGTCAGCACGTTTAGTCTCGGCAGAATCGCGGGTCGGGTCGTAGTCAATTTTAGTCTCCGCAGAATTACGGTCAGATCGTCATCAGTTTTAGTCACGTCCACGAAAATTCTGTCAGATCGTCACGAGTTTTAGTCTCCGCAGAATTACGGTCGGATCGTCATCTGTTTTAGTCTCCGCAGCATTGGGGTCAGGTCGTCATCAATTTGAGTCTCCGCAGAATTACGGCCAGATCGTCATCATTGTTTAATCACGCCCCCGAAAATCACGGTCAGATCAGATCGCCATCAATTTTGGTCTCCGCAGAATTACGGTCAGATCGTCATCCATTTTAGTCTCCACAGAATTACGGTCAGATCGAAACCAAGTTTAATCTCCACAGAATTTCGGTCAGATCGTTAGAAGTTTGAGTCTCCGCAGAATTGCAGTCGGATCGTGACCCATTTTAGTCTCCACAGCGTTACGGTCAGATCGTCATCAATTTGAGTCTCCGCAGAATTACGGTCAGATCGTCAGCACGTTTAGTCTCGGCAGAATCGCGGGTCGGGTCGTAGTCAATTTTAGTCTCCGCAGAATTACGGTCAGATCGTCATCAGTTTTAGTCACGTCCACGAAAATTCTGTCAGATCGTCACGAGTTTTAGTCTCCGCAGAGTTACGGTCGGATCGTCATCTGTTTTAGTCTCCGCAGCATTGGGGTCAGGTCGTCATCAATTTGAGTCTCCGCAGAATTACGGCCAGATCGTCATCATTGTTGAATCACGCCCCCGAAAATCACGGTCAGATCAGATCGCCATCAATTTTGGTCTCCGCAGAATTACGGTCAGATCGTCATCACATTTTAGTCTCCGCAGAATTACGGTCAGCTCGAAACCAAGTTTAATCTCCACAAAATTTCGGTCAGATCGTTAGAAGATTGAGTCTCCGCAGAATTACGGTCGGAGCGTCACCCATTTTAGTCTCCACAGCATTGCTGTCAGATCGTCATCAATTTGAGTCTCCGCAGAATTACGGTCAGATCGTCAGCACGCTTAGTCTCGGCAGAATCGCGGGTCGGGTCGTAGTCAATTTTAGTCTCCGCAGAATTACGGTCAGATCGTCATCAGTTTTAATCACGCCCCCAAAAATTACGGTCAGATCGTCACCAGTTTTAGTCTCCGCAGAATTTCGGTCAGATCGAAATCAAGTTTAATCTCCACAGAATTTCGGTCAGATCGTTAGAAGTTTGAGTCTCCGCAGAATTGCAGTCGGATCGTGACCCATTTTAGTCTCCACAGCGTTACGGTCAGATCGTCATCAATTTGAGTCTCCGCAGAATTACGGTCAGATCGTCAGCACGTTTAGTCTCGGCAGAATCGCGGGTCGGGTCGTAGTCAATTTAGTCTCCGCAGAATTACGGTCAGATCGTCATCAGTTTTAGTCACGTCCACGAAAATTCTGTCAGATCGTCACGAGTTTTAGTCTCCGCAGAATTACGGTCGGATCGTCATCTGTTTTAGTCTCCGCAGCATTGGGGTCAGATCGTCATCAATTTGAGTCTCCGCAGAATTACGGCCAGATCGTCATCATTGTTTAGTCACGCCCCCGAAAATCACGGTCAGATCAGATCGCCATCAATTTTGGTCTCCGCAGAATTACGGTCAGATCGTCATCCATTTTAGTCTCCACAGAATTACGCTCGGATCGTAATCAACTTGAGTCTCCACAGAATTACGGTCAGATCGAAATCAAGTTTAATCTCCACAGAATTTCGGTCAGATCGTTAGAAGATTGAGTCTCCGCAGAATTACGGTCGGAGCGTCACCCATTTTAGTCTCCACAGCATTGCTGTCAGATCGTCATCAATTTGAGTCTCCGCAGAATTACGGTCAGACCGTCATCATTTTTTAGTCTCGGCAGAATCGCGGGTCGCGTCGTAGTCAATTTTAGTCGCCGCAGAATTACCGTCAGATCGTCACCAGTTTTAATCACGTTCGCGAAAATTACGGTCAGATCGTCACCAGATATAGTCTCCGCAGAATTGCGGTCGCATCGTCATCCATTTGAGTCTCCGCAGCATTGCGGTCAGATCGTCATCAATTTGAGTCTCCGCAGAATTACGGTCAGATCGTCATGATTTTTAATCACGCCCCCGAAAATCACGGTCAGATCAGATCGTCATCAACTTTGGTCTCCGCAGAATTACGGTCAGATCGTCACCAGTTTGAGTCTAGATTGTCTTCAATTTTAGTCTTCGAAAAATTTCCGTCATCAGTTTTTTCACTTCCCCGAAAATTGCGTCATCAATTTTAGTCTCCAAAGAAAAGAAATGCCGTCAGGTCGCAATCAGTTTTAATTTCCGCAGAATCACGGCCAGATCGTCACCAATTCAGTCACGTTCCCGAGAAGTACGGCAATTAATAATGACTTCACAATCTAGTCGTAGTACCGGACCAACCTGACAGTCTACACTAGCCGTAAGAGTTGTGCAGAAACGCAAATTTGCTTGACAACCTGGCCGTAACTTTATGGAGAGAAAATTTGCCTGACAAGCTGACCGTGCGCGGAGACGACTTTAGCATAATACTGACAACCTGATGATAAGATATGATTTATTAGCCGTGCGGAGACTAAACTTGCCTGACAATATATGACGTTATGAGAACCGTAAAGTTCTGTGGAGACTGACTAGACTAAATTTGCCTGATAATCTGAACAGAATACATACATTGCAGTTTCAGCGCGTTACACAGACATCACACGCTCGTAAACACACACATGCATACACACATACATACACACATACATACACACACATACATGCGTACATGCACGCATGCACACATGCATGCATACATACATACTTACTTACTTACACACGTACTACAAACTTACACACATAGATACATAGATACGTGTAACACACACATACAAACATACATACATACATACATACATACATACATACATACATACATACATGCACAGACCACCCAACCAAAACCCACACAAACCAAGCAAGGAAACAAACAAGCAAACGAAGGAACGACCGACACACACTTTGAAATATTGAACAATAATAACAAAAACTAGCAACAAACGTCACGCAACTAACAGTTGACAACAGCAACAACAGCAACAACAGCAAGCGCAAAGGCAAACACAACGAACAAGAGCGAACGCCAAACGTTGAAAATGACAAGCTCCCGACAAAAACCGACAAACTCCGACAAAAGCCGACAAAAACCGACAAAAACCGACAATCCGACAAACGCGTCAAAAGCGCAAAGCTGGCCCAAGAGGACAAAGTCATGAACAAACAGTTCCCCTACAATTTGTTCCCCACACATCTTGAGGAATCAATCTAGAAGTCCGATAGTCCAACCCATTCGAGTAGTCCGACCTGTTCGATCAGTCCGCAGGGTCCGAGCTTAAATCCAGCCCCAAGCCAGGAAGTCAGACAAACCCGAGGGTCCGATCGCACTACCGCTACCGCTTCCAGTATCACTTCTACTTCTCCTTCTACTACTTCTGCTTCTACGTTTGCTACGACTGCTACTTCTTCTTCTACTGTTGCTTCTACTACTACGACTTGTTCCTACTTGTTTTCTACTTTTGCTACTACTGCTGCTTCTTCTTTGTACTTTTGCTTTACTACTTCTTATTCTACTTTGCTACAACTACATCTTTTGTACTACTACTACTTCTGAGTCTTCTTTCACTAGCTCTAGTAATAGTGCTACTAGCGCTGGCGCAAGTGCTTCAGCACTGCTACTTCAACTACGACTCTGGCCTTGGCTCTACGACTACGACGACCCTTCTATGACGCAGGCCTTGAGGAACGATAGGGCTAAACAATTGCCAACCCCGAATTGCGCTTTGTATGTCAGTTTTGCGCGCTGAACACGCAGGACTTCTGGAACTGGTTGATTGCTGGGCCTTATGGGAAACACAACCCAGAGCTGCATTTCGCAACATTGAGAGCTACCAACGTGCAACGCCTGGGCTGCATCCAGCAGTGAAAGTTGATGCGCAAGCGTTGTAAAGGACAGGAACCCTGAAAAGCATAGCTGTGTAGAGTTTTGCCGGCTGCTCAACAGATGTCAACTTGTTGTAAGAGCACGGGGCCAGACATTTCTGCAAGGGTTTTGGGCCCGGGCGGTCATGAATGCCTCAAGCCAGGCTGTAGCCGAGCTGGAGCGTTGTGACTGCAACAAGAAAGGCGCCGATGATTTGCTGGGCTCGGCGCGCTTGCTTTCTGAGTCGGCTTGGCAGAATAGAAGAGACGCGCCAGGTCACTGGGAGTTGTTGCCAAACGCGCCCAACGCTCGGCATGGATCGGCCGCAGCTGCGGCAGCAGGCGTCGCAACTCAAAGCACAAATTCGAAGCGTGCAAACACCCATGTGGCACGATTGAAGAGTCAATTGGAGACGTGTGGAAGAGGCAGGGTGCTTGGAGGGAAGCGGAATCAACCTTTGGTGTTCGGTCGGGCGTGTTACTTTGACACACTGCACGCGGGCGCTGCCGCTGTTTACCACAGCCGAGATGTCGTTCTTGTTCTTGCTTGATTTCCGCGCGCTGCTTTAATTGCCAGGTTCATTTTACTTAATTGGCGGGGACGACGGCAAAAGTTTGGCAGCGCGCCCGGCTTCCTGAAATTCACTGTGGGAGTGCGCAGTTCTGTTTGTGATGGGCCAAGGCCAGTGTTGAACGGTTTGACCCGACGCTGAAGTGCTGGGTCACACTGTGCGAGTCTGAGACGCCGACGATCCAAAGCAAGCTCCGAGCCTCAAAGCGGGCTGGCTCATGGTGTGTGCAGTGTTCCTTTGCGTTCAGGCCGCCGCTGCCTACGGGCCGTTTTGGCTGCGCCGCTGCGGTAGCTTGGGGCTAGGCGCCTGAACGCGAGTCACTGACCCACACTTCCGCACAATTGTTGCCAGGCCTGCAGGGCACGTGCAGGGGTTTTATTGCTCAAAGAAGCAGTCGGTCGTTGTGGCAGAAACAAGCCTTGCTCCCCTTTCACGATTGGTGCCTGCGAAGAGCGCGGAGCGCCAGATGTGATTGCAGCGAAAAGCCGGCCCTTGCTTTTTCACTTGTGAGTTCACACGTTGCCGTGCTCCAGCTGGCCATGGATGTGTGTGTTGCAGCAAGCCCAAAGACCAAACCATCCGCTTGTCAGAGACTGTAGCGGACGCTTACGTTGCACGGTGGAGTTTGTCCAGGAACGCTTATATTCTACGTTGCTGACGCACAACCGGTTGCGGCAGCAGCACGGCGCCAAGACGCGCCTCTGCTGGAAGTGTTTGCAGCCAAACAGGCAGCGCAGGCTCTTGTTTGTAATGCGCAGCGCGGGCGCTGGGCCACCTGCCACGCAAAGGCAGTTTGGACCACTCTCGCATTAATTACGCGGGCAAGCCCCCAGAACCACACGCGTAAGCCTGCAGGCCCGAAACAAGTCCAAAAAACAATCCCAAAAACTGGTCTTCAACAGGCCCTCCACCAGCATGATTGCGTGCCCTGGTCGGCAGAGGGCGGCAGCCCCATACAGCTTCGCTCTAGGTTTTTTCGGACGAAGGCGGGTTCTGACATGGCGCTCTGTGCCTCCGACTCTCCATGGAAAGATTGCGCGGTCGAAAGAGTAGTCTGTTTTTGCTTGCCTTCTTGCCCAACACATGCTTCAGGAGAGTGGTGGCAAACAAGAATGATAGGAGTATATGAGGGGCTTCATGGTTGAACTTAATTTTTGTTTAAGCCAACACACAGCTCCGATGCTAATCATAGAGGCTCGCTGTCCATTTGAACCTACCCCGGCGCAGAAACAAATATGGGGTAACTGTACCCTCTGAAAAGACATGGAAAGGCAGTTCCAAAGGGCAGCTGCGCGCCAATCTGCCGACGCCGTGCCAAAGCGGAATCATGTTCCGGGAGCCTTCAACCGGGGCAGCAAGAAGAACGTGGCACCGTTTGGACGGGCGCAGCTGCGACGCGCCCGGCCGCGAAGCCTCAGGCAGCAAAGCGCGCGAATTTTGAGCGCATAATTTTTCCCGAAGTTGGAGTTGAAGGGCGAAACAAATCTAGAAGCTTGCGGGAAGTGCGCAGGGCTGAGAAGGACGGCAGAAGAAGGCCGCTTTAAGCAGGACGGTTGCCGCGTTAACTTCAAGGTCTTTTATAGTCCCTGATCTATTCCGCACGATGGTTTCTTTGTCAATGGGAGACGGAGTGTGTTTGGAAGTCCCTGATGAATATGATGATTATTGGAAAGCGGTCCGCAATGCCTTCCCGTTTTAGACTCATGTGAAAGATGGGCTAAGGGCCAGAATGGTTGCACGGAGATCAACATATAAAACACAGGGTGGCTGGGGCGGGCGTGTGGGCAGGCCTGTGGGGTGGGTGGGTGGGTGCGGGTGGGTGTGCGTGGGTGGGTGGGTGGGTGGGTGGGTGGCATGTTATTCGCGGCAAGGCGCAGCTGAGATTCACATACTGCCCGGAGATCGGAAGCCGCTTCGACCTCCGTTCCTGGCCTTTGCGAGCTCTCTTGGAAGTCTGGGGGGCAAACGCTTTCTTTATAACTTCGGCTGCGTCGGGAGTAAGGCCATTGTGGCCATTGCCTGCTGCCTGCGCTGCCAAGCAACGCGGGCTTCTTGCTTTTTTTTGGCCAACGCAATCCTCACCTTGCGCCAAGTTGCAGGCGAGACAATTCGTGTTGCTTTTTCCTCCCGTCAAAGACATGGTTTTGTGTCCAACGCTTCGGGGGCCTGCTTGGGGCCCTTGCAAGCCCTCGCGAGCGTTGCGCGAGCAAAAAGGTTGAAAAACGCAACAAGGGAGTAGCGCGCGCCTCAGGCGCCATCAAGAACATGGACCTTGCGTGGTTTCAGGCAGGCCCCCTCTGGTTTCGATTATGACCCCGACGGATAGCTGTCAGAGCTTTGTGAGAGTCTGGGCGTAGGAGCTGTTGAGGGCGCACTCCCAGCCTACTCTCTGCAGGACAGGTATTCTGGAAGGAACCTTCACAGCGCGGACGCAATCGCAGATAAGAAGAAGGATTTCACTTGCGTGGCAGGTGTGGCGCTTTCGCAAGGTCCGGTGCATCGTGGCAGGGCGCAGCCCTGTGAGGGCGAGATGCAAGTTTCGTGGCAGGCGCAGCTCTTTCGGGACGTGTAGATTTTGTGGCCCTCGCAGCGCTTCCGCAGTTGAGGAGACCCATGATGCAGCTCTGCAGGACAGGGTGCGAGCGTGGCGGAGCCCAAGAGTAACCCAGCTGTGAAGGCCGTGCTTCGAAGACCAAAAAGGATCCCGTTCAGTCCAAGAGCTTCTGCGAGGATTGGGTCAAGATGCGGAAGATCAACACGGACTTATCTGAGGATCAGCGCGAGCGGCTGGAAGCCGAGGAAGCCCCATGTGAACATTCTTGCACGGCGCAGCGTGCGAGGATGAAGCCATGCCCCCCGGAGCATCGAGTTGCCCAGGGTGTTGTGGCCCTCGCAGCGCCTTGCCTTCGCGCCGCGCAAGGTGGCGTGTAGATTTCATGCCAGGCGCAGGGTCGGTGCGGATTGTGCGGAAGGCGCAGCGCTTCCCGCAAGGCCAGGCACAGGTTTCGTGGCAGCGCAACATTTTCGCAAAGTGGGGTACAGATTGGCGGAGCGCGGCGCTTTTGCAAGGTCGATGGACAGACAGATAGACGGATCGATAGCTAGATAAGTTGATAGCCAGATAGACCAAGCGATGCAATCGATCCTAAAAATAATTAGATAAGATGCATCGATAGACAGAGAGAGAGATAAGGCAGGTAGCTAGACAGCTAGCTACACAGCAAGCTAGACAGTGAGCTAGAAGATGACATAGTTAGACAGGCAGATAGGTAGATGAGAGAGAGAGCGATAGATAAACAGGTAGAGAGACACATAGATAGACAAGTAGCCACAGATCAAGAGAAACATGATAGATAGTTGGGTAGATAGGTAGGTAAGAAAATTTCGAGAAGTAGACAAATAGATATAGAGGTAGATAGGCAGAGAGAGATATTTACGGAGAGAGAGAGAGAGAGAGAGAGAGAGGGGAGAGAGCGAGAGAGAGAGAGAGGGAGGGGCAGAGAGGGGGATAGATCTGCTGGATGGACAGTTGGACGGGCGTGAACAACGAAAACGAGGAGAGAGGAGTAGATAGATGGATGGATAGATTAGGTAGATAGGTAGGTAGATGTAGGAATGGATGGGACAGATAAAGGCAAGATAGACGTAGAACGTTAAGGAAAATAAGTAGATAGAGAGGTAGGTAAGAGAGATAGAAGGAGAGGTGAACATTTTGAGAGAATTCACGAATAGATGAATAGACACAGAGGCTGAGATGTAAACCGAAAGCAAGAAAGAAACAAAGAAACAAAGGAACAAAGAAACAAAGAAACAACGAAACGACAAAACAAGGAAACAAAGAAACGGAGAAAGAAAACAAAGGAACAAAGGAAGAAAGAAAGAGAGGAAAAAGGAAAGAAAGAAAGAAAGAACGAAAGAAAGAAGAAAGAAAGAAAGAACGAAAAAAAGAAAGAACACAAGGAAAGAAGGACAAGAAAAAAAAGAGGAAAAAATAAGGAAAGAAAGAAAGAAAGAAAGAACGAAAGAAAGAACACAAGGAAAGAAGGACAAGAAAAAAAGAAAGAGGAAAAAGGAAAGAAAGAACGAAAGAACGAAAGAAAGAGCGAAAGAAAGAACACAAGGAAAGAAGGACAAGAAAGAATAAAAAGAGGAAACAGAAAGGAATAAAGGAAGAAATGAAGAAGAAAGAAAGAAAAGAAGAGGAAAGAAAAGAAAAGACAGAAGTAATAAAAGAAAGAAATAAAGAAAGAAAGAAATAGTGAAAGACAAGAAACGACAAAAAGAAGAAATTAAGAAATAAAGAAAGAAAAATATGTTAATTTATTGTCTTAAGGACGGAAGGAAAGAAGGAAACAAGGAAGGAAGCAGAAGCAACAAAAATAAAGGAATAAACAAAGGACACATAGAAAGAAAGAAGCGCGAAAGAAATAATAAACAAATCAAGAAAGACAAATGGAAAGAACACAATGAAAAGAAAGAAGGCAAAATGAACAACAGGAAAGAGAACAAATATAACCAGAAAACTCTAGTTTTATACTCAAAAAACTTCTGGTTTCACCAACTCTACGTTTTAATATGAACAAATTGGAAGTGCGCCTGAGAATTACTCAGATGCAACCATCGGCCCACTTTGGAAGTTCAAATTGAAAGCTTGTTAGGGTGCCAGTTCCATCCGAAGTAAGTGCGCAACATGAGCAGTAGTCAAATACTTTACATACCAGATGGGTGTTTCATGCGAATGCGCGCCAATCGAGTGCGGCCTGGAATTTCGGAAAGAAAGGGATGGCCGCTTTGGTGTGAGCTTCAATCAACATCGAACTGGCGCACGAGGGTTAGGGACAACCCCAACCACAAGCTGATGTGGGAAAGCTCTCCGCCTTTGCAACAAGTGGAACCCTTCGAAACCAGGTCTTGTTGTCTTCGGAAAGTACGCTCCGACTGCAACCGCTGGGCAAATTATTTATCATGGGCGACCAGGTTTCCGAGGAGACGCCCGCGGGTCCGCCGCACTTCTCTTGGCTCAGACTCGGCAGGTGAAATCTTATGGACAATGACATTTTCCCGATGTCTGCTGCCAAAGCTGCTGAAAACTCGCAGCAAGATACTTTGGACACAGATGAGTCGGACTTTGACATCGACATTGATGTGGATGAGATGATTCCAGGCGCGGTTGGTTTGAGCACCTTCGAAACATACCACGGACAGTGGCCGCGACGCCGCGACTCCGATTTGGGAATGTTCCTTCGGCCCACCTGGCGCAAACCATCACCAGAGCATGCGCCCCCCCAACCAGGGTTTCTTGCGCGCATTGTCCAGCAATGTTCGCGTCACCCATGCGGGTTGTGGCCTGCATTGGCGGGTAGTTGAACCCTCAATTCCTCTTGCAACCAAATGGGAAGACCCCTTAGCCTCAAAGCCACCAATCCAAACTACGCAGTAGGATAAACTGAAATGTCACAACATGCTATGATAGAAATGTTGGGGCAATCTTGGGCACACTCCAATCAACTTTTGCTGCACGCCTGCTTGTTTGAGTTTTGCTAAAAGAGTTTCCCATTGTTTTTGCCACAAGTTGTGAGGAGGAGGTCAGTTTGGTCTTGCAATCCGCAAAAAGAGAGATTGTTGGAAAGGCGCATAAAGTCTCGGAGGCAAGGCTAGGGTGTGGGGGTCTTGTCGCTAGGCTTTGCCGCAAACTGCGGGACCCCCAAAATGGGCCTCGCTGCGCCCGTTGATTCCGCATGGAACATGGAAAGTATCTGCAACATTCGGGAAACACATCACCTTTTGGAATGGCCAGTTTGATTCGTGAGTTTTGGTGAAGTGGGGTGGTGTTGAAGGGGCAAGTGTACGGAGCCTCAAGTTCCATTTCATTCTTTGAGGGCATGTTTTTGATTTGGGTTTTTGCTTAAAATCCAAAAACGCAAGCGGCGCCTAACGCAAGACAAACACAGGTGTCGCGGAGACCAGCGCGCAAACTGGGCGGCCCTTGCCGGTTGATGGCAGCTCCCCTGGTAGCAGCTCACTAGCGGAAAGGCCCAAAGCGCGGGGCTCAGGCTGTTGGTTCAGAGCTCAGATCTGGCGAATTGGACCAACCTGCCTTCGTGTGGACAAGCGCTGCGCTTGTCCGCAGCAACCCTGACTTTGCTTGGCGTTTTGCAGAGCTGTAAGTTGCCAATCTTGACATGTCATTGTCTCCGCCGCCAAGCCCGCAAAGGACCTGAGGCGACTACACAAACCCTGTTGTTTACCGCCTATGTCCCATGACCCGTTTTGCTGGCCACACATGTCTCATGTTTGGACCGTGCGGCTTGTTTTGAGGCTACTACCCTGGAAGTCTTTGAGGCAAGCGCAGACGCGCCTCGGTGTGAGCTATGAAGGGTTCCTTGGTGCCATGGCTACCAACCCCCTTTCGGCGTGTGCCGTATATACCGCATATCCCCCTGTCGGGGCTTTTGGATTTGGGAACCGGAGGTCAGGAGTCAGGGTTCAAAGGAACGAGAAGCGGCACGCACGGGTTCGATTCACACGGTTCTGAGGCGTCTCTCAAAAGGCAAGCCCCGAGCTTTAGCATTGAGGCTGGCGAGAAGCCGACAAGCCGAGAAGCTGCTTTGATTCTCTGTGCTTCTCGGGTTAGGGTTTCGGCCGGTTTGGGTCAAAGTAATCCCGGGCTTGGCGGGATGTGTAGATCGCCCACCGTTGCGTGTTGCCGAGCGGCAATCCAAGCATTTTGTTGACAGATACGTCGTGAACCAAAGCTTTTTGAATATTTAGCTTGCTGCTTTCACCAGAGCAAGCTAAAGCTTGACACATATCTTTTGTGAGTGAAGGAAGCTCAGAAAGACATTGTCCACGAGACGTTTCACATCTTTTTGTTCCAGTTAGGCAAGCTTCACAAGAAGACACAACATATCCTTTGAAATGAAACACACAGGACGAATCTATCCTTTTGTGTTTTGATACGCGCCAAAGTGACCTTTGTGGCTGCTTCATTTTGCGAAGGACTCTGTGTCGCGATGGGCCCACTTCAGCTTTTCAGCTTGGGCTAGGCGCCGGCGCCTGCACCTCCGGCTGACACCGCAGCCAGCGCGGCGACTGCAGCGGCCGCCTCCCCGGGCTCGGGCTCAGGTGCGGCGGACCCTGTGGCATCTGAGGTCGACATAGCGAGTCTTGACATGCTTGAGGATTTGGATTCGGAGGTTTTGGACTCAGCCAGCGTGCCCGCTCCAGCCCCAGCTTCAGCTGTTGCTTTGCCCGGGGCTGCTGGTCTAGAGGCAGGGAAGCATAGCGCGGACGATTCGGACACAGCCAAAGGTCGCAGTGCCGCTTGGCGGGAGCTGAGAGAGGTCGTTTTCAGAGGAAGAGTTTCATCTTCTAGTAAAAGGTGCTAAAGGTGCTACGTGGGAGGAAGTGGGCCCCCCAAACAACAGCTTTCTGTTGGCTCTCCTCACCCCCAACCTCAGGCGGCGTTTCCGTCCTCTACCCCTTCAGCTGCCTCTCTGGAAACGGTGGAAAGGGCCCCGAAAGCCCCCACAGCAGCTGCGGCACCAGCTCGCCCTGGAGGTTTGCTGGCAGTTTCTCGCCCATGCCTTCAGTTTTGACGTGTTAGGATTGTCCACGCGAACTCCTTGAGATTGGCCTAATTGCAGCCCAAAAAGTGGATCTGAAGGACCTCATGAGTGAGCAGACTCTATGAGGCTGCAGCGGCTGTTAGAGCGGCGAGTGCTGCCGCGGGCACAGAGTGGGATGATATCGCCAATGAGGCCAAAGTACCGTGGCCTCTCAATCCACCCATTTTTGCGCGTGTCATACAGTACCGGGCCAAGTCGGGCAGAACAGAGTCTGGAAGAGCGATAAAAATGATGAAGTTGCACAAGTGTGATGTACTTTTTGTTGCTGTCATGCTGGGTCAGTGAGGGGTCCAGTCTGTGTCTGGAAGAGGATCTCCATGACAGAGTGCGTTGGCTGATCAGGATAAAAAGAAAGAGAAAGAGGAATAGAGCCCCATGTCGTGGCTGCGGTGTGGTTCCTGTGGCTGTTGTTCCTGCTGTGTTTGCTGCTGCTTGGTTGAATCTTGTCTTCATGTCCTGTCCTGTCCTGTCCTGTCTGGTCTGTGCTTCCTGCGTGCCTATCGGTAGCTTTGCATGATGTATGTTTTTTGCTTTGTTTGTCTATTTGTTTTTGTTTGTTTTGCTGTTTTCCTGTTCTTTTGTTTGTCTGTTTGGTTGGTTTGTTTTGCGTTCACCGGGTGATGAAGATTTTAATTCTTGAGCTGCACGCCTGGGTCCAGTCATCCGTTGAGCCTCTGATTCTGCAGCTGGAGCTCGGGAATGCGACGGCGCTGGCGTAGTAGGCGGGTCGCCTGATAGTCGTCGGCCGTCTCATGCCGTCGGTCTGAGGCTTCTGCGGCGTTGGGCCGGCTTCAGCATCTTTATTTGCATCCTTGCGTTTTTCGCTTTTGACCTGCACGCATGAGTTTCTCTTCTCGCGCCTGGGATGAGGCACAAATTGACATAGCTACAACATGAGAAGTAGCGAGAGTGAGAACACAGAGTCACTGAAGCCACAAACAAGCCAAGCTTCTTTTCTCTGAGCTTGCCCCGCATCAAGTTTACGTTTCCACTACCTGCTTCACTTCCTCTTTGATGTCCTTGAAGGTATCAGCCTTGGTGGTGTTTCTTGCAAAAAGACTTACCTCGCGCCTTGGGGTTGGGTTCTTGTCATTGAGCAAGACATCTTGCAGAGAGCCAGGGCCCATCAGCCAGGTGAGCAATTGCACGCACGCGCTTGGCTGGAGTCTGTTCAAGTGTCCATGTGTTTCCTCAGATTCTCGCAAAAAATCTGAGCAACGGGAAGCTTTTTCACAGGCTGCAGCGGGATGCCCGCGCTTCGACTGGGGCTGAAGTGTTGGCTGAGGGCTTACAAAGCGAACCGTGCTGAGTTGAAAGTTGCTACGCTTTGGCTGTCTTGCAGCTAGCTTTCTGGAAGGAATAGGCGCGCCATCGCGCTGATTCTCTGCCACACGCTGTCAGCTTTGCAAGAACTTTAGAAAAGCCCGTCGTAGATCCTCGAGCGTTCCCAGTCATTTTGCCTTCGACGGAGCCTTGTCTTGCGTCTTTCGCGCTTTTCAAAGTTCGAACAGAAAGGGCAGGGACACAGAGTCTGAGAAAGGGGTGCTCAATTGGCGAGGGTGCGTTGAGGCGAAGCGACAAACGACTTGTAGAAGAGGAAGTGACTCCACAATGGCCGCTTGAAAATCCGGAAGCATCAAAGTTCCTTGGCTTGCCACCAACATCAATCTGCGCGCCGCCCCTTTCACGATGATTGGCAAGGCTCTCCGCACAATCGCGGACCAAGCGAGGGCTGGAGCCACCCGTGCCTCAGACCTCACGCTGTCCAAGACTGAAGCATTGTAGTGTCTGAGGCCTTGCTTCAAAACCTGCTGAGGCAGCCAATCTGGAGACGTACCTACTCAACTTCAATGTCTGGAAGCCTGGAACGTTTTGAGTGTGGTGGAAGAGGCGGTGGGGTTCATGACGGAAAGCACCTACACCTCCCGCACTTGTCACTTGTCACGCCTGTCATGATAGAATAATCAACATTAGGATGCGGTCATGAGACAGATGTGATTGGCAGTCAGCAATGACAGGCAGTGTGTTCCTAGGCGTAGTGCTAGTCTCTGAATCTTCAACACAAAGCTCTACCACCCCTTCTGGGATGCTGAGTGTCAACGGACAGAGTTCAATTTACGCCATGTCGAGTCGCAGAACCTTGAAAATTGGAGTTTTACTGCGGCTTCCGACTCCATTTGCAGCACGGACTGAGGCGCGGGCGAAAAAAGCGCACTAAGATCATCGTGATGAGATTTGCCCAGGCGCCGGCAACGTGTCACAAATGTCTGACCAAGTTTCAATCGCCGCTGCGAGCTGTCCTAAGACGTGACATATGAAGAGTTGCAAGCGCAGCTTGTGCACCACCTGGCTGCGAAACGAAGAAGGCCAGTTCACGCGTGACGCCACGATGCGAGGTGAAAAGAAGCGGTTGTCACTTCAAGCGGCTGGTGGCTGCTGCATTCAGTTCGGCCTGGGGCTCAAGTCAAAATGTCAAGCGCGACGAGTGCCCATGCCACCACGCAAGACGGCCCCAACTCAGAAATTTAAGGAGGCCGTGCCACCTCCTGTCCTGAGTCATCAAAGTCATGCAGGTGCGCCAACGGCCAGCTAAAAACACATTGATTCCAGAAACCAGAGAGCCTGAGTCTTTCAACTGGTAACCTACAAAAACACTTAGCAAGCAAGCGTCGAATTGCAGAAGCCACTCATGTCGTCACTTGGCCGGCCATATCAGGTTTCATCAGGAGATGCGCCCTGAGTCAGGCGTCATGTAGTAACACATCAAGGGACCCTCGGCGGGTGATGGCAGTAGACAAGCTGAAGAGTTGTCAGCTACTTGGTGTTGCCAACTACAGCACTACATCATGCTGAGCGTGTGAGCTATGTTCCATGCCAAAAGTGCAAAATCTTGGCTTGGATCTTCTCACCCTTCTGGCCATAGCGCCGAAACTTCTGCCCTTGCGTGAAGGGCGCTTGGGCGTGGTCCGAGACGCAGTAACCCGCAAGGATCTCCAGCCTTACGGTCAGATGACGATGAGTAGACCAAATGTGTTGGGGGGCGTGCGCCGATGAAGTGCTGAAAATGGCAATTGGCAATTGAAAGAACTCAAACGCAACATGTCTACGTGGCAGCTCTCACACTTGACAGTTGTCGCTTGAACCTCAAGAAGCCAAGAAAATTACGTGGCCCAAGCAACATCGGGCTCATGCCAGCAGAGCCGCCAGGCTCACGGCGGCTGCGAGCACTCCGCGCCTGCCTGGCGCAAACCCAGCTAGGCGAATCATCAAGCGCACGTGTGGACTGAGAGCGGCTAACAAGCAATCAATGGTAATTATCCATTCAAGATTCGTATTCAGGGTCTTCTTGCCGTTCTTCACAACTGTGCTGAGTGGGAGCAGTCGCAAGGCGCACGATGAAGAGGCATCTGTAGAAGCAGTTCTCTTTTGTCTCACGCTTGATTTGTGATTGAGTGGAATAGACGCTCGCTGCCTGGGCGATGGGCTTCACATAGTCCTCCGCCCAGCACAAGTGGCAGCGTAGCATGGTCGAACGCGTTGAGCAACAGTGTTTCAGACCCACGAATGACCTCCCATGTCTGGAACAAGTTGCCGTAGGTGTGGAATCTCAATCCCAGGCTGTTCTGACAATTCCCTACTTGGTGCCAGGCTGCGTTGAATTAGCAAGTGACAACTGACAGTTGCATGAATCCTTGCATGCTTTGAAAATTGCTGGAACACAAGCTCTCTGGAATCTCAGGCCTTCGGGATCCAGGTGGCGCTGGTTCTGCGCACGGTTTTGCTCAGCTGGCCCACTGACGCGCAAGCTGCGGTGGCGTTTCTGAGCTGACATCGCCTGAAAACATTGAGCTGAGGCTTCATTCGTTGGGAGCGTGGGCAGTGAGTGAGTCTCCAAATCGAGCAAAGTGCTTTTTGAGCCACACGCGAAGCAGAATGGCCGCCGCGCAAGTTCGGAGCTTACCCCTCTTGCAGTTGAGCCTTGGGCGCAACGCCAGCAAGCTGAAGATTATTAGACGATGCCACACATGCCCCTAATTCAATATCATTGGCCCCAGACGCGGGACTTGCTCAGGTCAAGAGAGACAGGAGTGTGTTTTTCGCCCAGGGTTAGACCTGCCCTCTGTTCAAACCATCTTTCCAAAAAAGCTGCGAGCGAGAAGCTTGACGACCGTGCGTGGCCGTGTCGATGTCTGGGTGACTCAACTCACCCAGTAGCATGGCCATGACAAACAGGAATCAGACTGTCTGCGTCAAGAGCTGCAACCGCCAGGCCAAGCCTGGTTTGACAATCGCCGCCCGCAGCCCCGACTTGTTGCCGTAGCTGCCTTCGCCACGTGACCAGTAGGGCCTCAGACAAATCACTTCAACATGATGTCTCCGCTGCGCGCAAGTGGCGACTGCTCAAATCTCGGTTGACGTGTTTGCTTCCCATCGATGAGTGCAGCGAGTTGGCCAGACAGTGTGCTTGCGTGTCCCAGCCAAAAACCGAGCCCGAGCCCTGTAGCCCTGGATCTCCACCTGCGTTTCATCATGTCAGCTCAACGCGGAGCCAGAAAGACTTCTGTCTCTGAGGAGGCACACTGACTGGTCAAAGGGTTTCAACGCCAAGGGCCTTGCAAAGACGCAGCCGCAAGTCCCACTGCCACCTCAACAAACGCCTATGAGTTTATTGCGTGATATGTGAAACGAGTTGCAACTGACTGAGGAAGCTTACGGCGCACGCGCGCCAACAAGAAACTTGAGTTACAATGACAATCGATTGAAAGACCATGGTCTGACAATGTGACAGCTGAGATGCGGCGTTGGCAGCCTCATCAGCAAGTCAAGTCGCAGCTTGACGCCCTGCTTCGCAGCCCTTGCCGTTCCTCATCTTTTCGCCCCTGATGTCCCGCCTCGGCCTAAGAACGAACTCCTACCGCAAGTCGGTTGCAGTCAGTGAGTGGCAGTGGCGCAGCTTGATTCTAGTTGCAAGACAGTTGCCAATTTTGAGAGCTTCATGGTTAACCCTTGGCACCGCTAGTGACTGCCAAGATAATCTGCTCGGCGGCAGCCTCTGACACCGTGAAGCACAGGTACAAAGCCTCAGCCGAACCAGCTTTATCTTCACTGAGCGTCAACCATCGGCTTGGTTGGTCGTC